GCTCACTGCTTCTCATCTAGACTATTGCTATGGCTTCCAAATGGGTTTCCCTATTTCCTGTCATGACTCAGCTGAATTCTCTTCACAACCACTGTTGGACTAAACTTTCAATAGTGCATGAAAAAAAACATCAAGAACTCCTCATTGCCTACTGAATTAAGCATAAACTATTAGATGGGTTGTCACGACCTCTGCACACTGTGTCTAATCTTTCCTTTCTGTCTAATGCACAACTGAAGCTTCATGCTCCACGCTCTATATTCTGTAAGCAAACTTACTCTCCATTAAACACACTTGAGCTTTTTCATAGGTTTATCCTGAATTGTTATCGCCTTTATGTTTCTAGAGTGGCTGCTAAATTCACTCAGCACACACTCATTCTCAACCCAGTATCCATGAACATATCTTGCTCCACCATTAAACAGTAAACTCCTTGAATTGCTAGTAAAATCCTAGCAATACAGGCACCACAGTACCAAGTACTGTGACCTGAAATAGTACATGGTTGATAAGAGTTCATTCAGATTGCTCCCTTTCCCAAACCCTTCCTTCATTAATTCTTTAAGATCTACCTCAAATATCATCTCTCTCAAATTGCTGACCCCCATCTAGGTTAAAAGATAAATTAGGATAGAGCTGCCATAAACCACAAGACAAAGTAGTCAGTTTATTTTTGCCTTCCTGTTTTCCTTTCTATGCTTCTGTCACCTGTCACTTTCTTTTCCTGATGGTATCCCTCCTCACCACCTTGTTAGGCTATCATGTTCAGATGCGCTAAAGCTGAAAGAGTTGAGGCATGATATCTTTCCCCATTGATTCCATTGACTTTAACCAGGGTTCTGAAGTTATTACTGATTAATTTTAATTTTTTTTATAATTCTGACCCTCTCTGTCAAAACTGCCATTTCTCAAACTGATTCCACACTGATTAGGAGGAATTAAGGGTTGTATTTGGGGCAAGCAAAACTTCCTAGCACTTCTTAAATGGTCCACTTGATAATCTGTACAGTTGGTCCTTGAAATGCAAATAGCAAAGACATGTATTCTTGGTCCAAGCCCATTCTAGAAGAGGCCAGAAAGACAAATCATTTCATTTTTCCATAAATTTCTGTCTCAACCCTCACAATTTGGGCATTCGAGTCTAAGTATATAATAATGGAAAGAATTATTGATATTAATGGTTTTTAGCATTTTTATCTATATAACAATGTATAGATTTTTTAATATATGCTTTTACATATCTTAGATCATTTGATTCTCGCCACAATCTTAAGGTTAAGATAAGACAGGCATCATCCTACCACATTTCTAAGCAGAAATGAGGCTCTGATTGCTTTCTGGCATTTGGCATTTCTCCCAATGGACAGTCCCTTGCAGGACACCGAGATGCGTATTCTTCACAAACAGTGAATTCAGGCACTGCCAGCGAGTGTTAGGATAAATTTTTACCCTACTCAATTGCCCTTTCCAGTTGGTCTCTAAAAAGCACCCTGAAATTAGTTCTTACACTAAGTCTACATTCTATCCATTTCATTCCCAGCCTAGTTTTGTTTGTTTATTTCATCACCACAGGTTAGCTCCTAGGTTATTCTTTCAAGTAAAACCTACCCAGAGACTCAACCATAAAAAGGCATATTCTAACCCAATCTCACCTTGCAGAAGCCCTACTATAATAGGAACTTGACTTTCAGCACTTCCAGAATGACCGCACTCCATACGCAAATGCACATATAAGTCATTATTTTAAATCCCTTACTGTGTCAACAAAAGATCACCGGAATGTCAAACTTTTAGAAATACCAAGGACTAATCTAAATGATTAGTCCTCATTTTAACTAATCCAACCCCGAAATTTTACCCCATGTTCTATGGAGTAACTTGCACCTCCTGAACCCCATCATAGGAAGGAGCAAGATAAACGGGTAGAAAGCCTATCATCCAGTAACTTCCTTACTCATTTTATACATTCTTTCAAACTAATAACTCCTTCTGGGGGTGGCGAGATAGTCTTCCTTTTAAGAACTCCTAATCTAGCTCAACTCCCTTATCTTACATACACTGAAATGAAGTTGCAGAGAAATCACATGTTCTGCCCAATGCTGACAAAGTTAGGCCTAGAATTCAGTCTTCTACATGCACCGTTCTTCCTGTCCTACCATGGGATTGCTGGGACTAACCTCAATCATTCATTGAACATCTCCATGAAGATAGACTAGCGTTAAGCATATTCTGTGGCTGCAATATGCATTTAAATTTGTGCCTGTAAACAGATATTTTTAAAGCAAGTACTGTTTACATCTTTGTATATTTCCATACTCACTAGCATAATGGATACTCAATGTCATTAGTTGATGAAATGAATAAATAAGTAAATGCTTTCGTGATGAAAGAGCATAATTATCTCTTCAAAACACCCAGATGGGGTCACTACTGCATCCAATTGTCTTTATTAATTTAGAGAGAATGGAATACTTAAAAACTGTGGTTGTCTTGTCAATTAATATATAATTGAAAATACTGATTTAAAATCTCTTATGCCTACCCGGCCTGCGTGGCTCAGCAGCTGAGCATTGACCTAGGATCCAGGAGATCGAAGTTTGACTCCTGGTCAGGGCACATGCCCGGGTTGCGGGATCGATCCCCAGCAGGGGGCGTGCGGGAGGCAGCCGATCAATGACTCTCATCATTGATGTTTCTCTCTCTCTCTCTCCCTCTCCTTTCCGCTCTCTGAAATCAATAAAGATATATTAAAATAAATGAATAAAATCTCTTAGGCCTTTTTTCAGTAAGGAAAGCAAAGATGTCCATCAAGTGGCTCACCTTATGCATGATATCTGAAAGTGCACTGACAAATCTGTACAGAACACAGAATGGGAATTCACACACTTCTCTCAGCCATGCTAAGCAGGCTGCTATTGGTACAGGATGAATTCTACCCAGTTTTCAAAGTCTCCAAATCACAATCACGTGACATCTTTTAGCTCAACCTACTATTGACAGAATAAAGAAAATAGCACTGCTTCCTCTTAAATATTCTATAGCTTAGTGACATTTTATACACATACATAGTGGAAAGAATACAAACTCAGTAATGAAGTATTAGCATTCACTTTTTAGGCGACTGAAATAATCTTTTGTTTGTTTAGATAATACATACTCTAGGGATATCTCCAGAGGTAAAAACAACTGTCTTTTGAAACAGCAGAGTAAATTGTTACAAAAAATCAACTATGATCTGAAAATAAAGTTTCAAAGCCTTTCAGATATTTTTCAGGTGAAAATGCCTTATTTAAAATAACATATAAATGCAGACAGCTAACTTGTTAACTTAAATATTACAAAGAAGCAGCAATGAATTAAGGTAAGCTAATGCCTTTTTCCTTTGGGAAGGTGAGTTTTGAAGGGTAACTATGTTTTATGTGCATAAAGTGTTCAAAATGTGTATCACATTTCCATATATTTTAGAAATTCCCTTAAATATGTACTATTATATATGAGTGATACATTTTAATGCCTTAGAAAATGCAGCAATTGTAAACCATGCTATAATTGCCTGTCCATAATTATAAAAATAATTTTCCAAATGTATTCTCCTATTTTTCCAGGAATCAATACTTACCTGACATATTACATTACATTTTCTCACAAATAGTTCAACATTTTTCTCATTTAAGATTCTTTCTGACCATTATCTGTATATGTAAATACATACTTTTCCTTTACATACATTTTTGTATTTAAAAGCATATCATATATATTGAAAATGTGTCAAACTATAGTTTATAAATTTGGAGGTAATTCCTTGCATTCTGACATTCCCCCAAAGAGTTGGAATTCTGCAATACTGTATTTATATATTTTTGCATGCTGCCTATTAGATAAGATTTTGTCTTCATTAAGTGTTACACAAATATAAAGGGTTATCATGCAAAAGTTCCATATCCCCTGGGTCTCCATTCAATTGAATAAATATAAATAGACATACGAAATTACAAAAATCAGGATATATGAGCTTTGCAATTATTTGTTTTCATGGCTTGGGCAAGTCATTACAGCCTAATGGATTTTGTCCGAGTAAGTATTGGCAACTAGCAAAAGCAAGTTCAATACACACACACACACATGCATGTGCACAGCCATCAAGGAGGGGTACACGGCCTAGATCGGGCAGGAGATGTACAAAGACTCGTCTGGGAGATCTGCCCCACAGTACACGCAGGCAAGATTGTATTTGGCAAAATGTGTCAGCAGCGCTTTCTTTAGATGGATGTCTTTTGTGCTTTTTGTTGTCGTTGGCCTGCAGCATGCTATTTGTTACTTTGCTGTAGGTTACCCCTGAAAGTACATATGTAAACCAGTGTGGGATGCAGTTTGAGAACAGCTGTGGCATGAAAGAGAAAATGACAGCGAGACAGGGAGAGGCGACAGACAC